ATGGAGTTTTGTGACAGGTATGGTTTTGATCCAGAGTACACTGTTTTGTTAAAAGGGGCTAAAGCCGAGATTAAACTACAAGAGGTGCAAAGAGCATTCGCTTTGCTGGATCACGTTGTCAAAATTCAACAAATAGATAGTCTCCCTGACACTATTTTGTGTCAGTTCACGGAGTCCATTACCCCAATGCTCTTAGATGGAGAACATTCAGCAGATGGGGAGGGTTGGGAGGTTATTCAGATAGATGAGTACTGTCCTCAGGGACCTGACAGTTTTCACCTGGCGCATGATGTGGTCCCCCTTGCTCGAGCAATTGATGATGTGACTGCTAGTTTCAAAGAACAAGTAAAGGAACTGGCATTAGCATATAATGTGAACCCCATGACTTTAAATCAGGCTGCAGTGAGCCCCATGTGTGGGAAAATTGATACATATAAGGGGTTGGCTACCTCAACTCCTGCCTTGGGAGTTAAAACTCAGTCTACACCCGGTCCCAGGTCAACTGCCGCCTGTGATGATGGCCATGCGCCCAAGGCTAAACAGGCACTTGATGCGGACTCCCTGCTTGTTGATCCTGTGCCAGCGGAGGTTCAGAGAGTCATTGTGGAGCACATTGTAAAACATGATTCGCCCATGCACACTCCCTCTGCTTCTGAGCTCCGCTCATTTTCAGGAAATTCTCCAAAACCCCCTAATGAGGTAGAGTACAGAGTATGGCGACTTAGAGCTAAACAGGTACTAAATGACTCTACCCTTTCCGAAGGGCAGCAGCGCCATGTTTTCCTCGATAGCTTGGCTAGCCCTGCTTTTAATGTGGCCCTTTCTATTGGGTCTCAAGCACCACCAAAAGACTACCTCGATGAGCTCGACAAGGCTTATGGCAATGTCACTGGAGGTGAAGAGCTGTATATCCAGTACCTAGAGACTCATCAGAATAGTGGAGAAAAGGCATCTGATTACTTGCGCCGACAGTTTCTGTGTGGGTGTGTACCTATATGTTGTTTCCATAGGTACATAAAAATCTACAGACACAGAGGCAAAACCACAATAACCA